CCCCAAGAATAAATATTCGTGTGTTAAAAAGTGTTATATGTGTGGATATTTGCCAATTCAGCACTATTGAATATGTAAGTGCTGAGTCGATGGTTTCTGACCACTGAACAATAATCGTGTTTAATAAATAAAGCATGCATCAGGGAGCAGTATTATCTAGGGTATTATAATGTGGTTTCTTGCAGTGACAGCCTTTAAATAATCTGTAAATGAAGCTGAACCTGTAAGGGATTCATCCGTCGCGTAATTAACCATCTCTAATACAAACCTAATCAATACTGCAGCCCTGTTTATCTCATCTTCATCAGTTTAACTCTGCAGTAAGATTAACCTCCCACTCTCTATCTGTAGACCTGCAAGAGAGAAAAAATATAGAAAATCCATCATTTATTATCCAGTTTCATCATTCAGCAAATATTATGTATGTCACTTGATATCAGTAAACACACACTGTGGAGGGAAAACAAACCAACAATTGATGAGATCAGATGAAGCCAGCAGCAGCAGCAGCAGCAGGAAAATCGAGCTGAATATTGATTTGCTAAATGTGTTTAGCCAATAATCCGCTCTAAGGTCACCAGCCTACACCTGCACATGTTTACCTCTGAATCATCAGTACAGTTCAGTGGAATATGTTGGATGGATTTATGTGTTGTAATGGAAATGCGCTGGTATTTATTCACAAATTGGTTTAACAATGGATGTTTGTCGTATAATATTCTGACTTCACTGTCGTCTTGTTTTGAGAGGAGCAGTGACGAGACGAGGTCGCTGTAGGCACAGGTTTGATTCCTGTAACTAAAGTGTCCTTCAGCAGCACTGGATTCTGTTATAGTGTGCTTGAGTGAGACACTAAACCCTGAATGTACCTGCTGAGCATCAACTAAATGCTCGAAATCTGAAAATAAGGCACGGTTACACCGTGTGAGTGGCTGTGAAATATAATTAAGAAGCAACAACAGCCTTGTTTGCAATTTATAATTTAATTACAAATTTGGCCTCTCATAAATATTTACATATTATCTTTGTTATCCCTAAACAACCCAGGAACCCAACAACTATACACATCCTGTATTTACATCACTAAAAACAGCAATCCCACAGTTTGAATCAACTCTTCAATGCCAGAATCAAAAGTAAAAGTATGCACTGCACAAAATTACTTTTTTTGTTTTATTGATTAATTTAAGCAGCTTAAAAGATTTTTGGGGCATAAAATTCTGTTAAGAAATTCATATCCCCTTCAGGATAAATTGTCGTTTGTTTGTTGATTGCATTACGTTTTCCTCTAGCACCACCAGCAGGTTAAAATTGCAATTTGTCCAATACTTTAGTTTATGATTCCCATCGGCCTCAGCTGTTCTTCGTGTTTTGTGCTAATTTGCAAGTTGACATGCTAACACACTAAGATTATTAACGTGTATTAATGTGAACATTACCCGCAAAACATTAGCATGTTAGCATTGTCACTGTGAGTATGTTAGCGTGCTGATGTTAGCTTTTCTCTCAAGGTGCTGCATCAGTACAGCCTCACAAAGCCATAATCATGGCTGTAGACTCATGTCGTTTTCATTATTCCCTCCCTGACAACTCAACTCTCATTTCTTTCAAACTCAACCTCCCCAGTTTGTAGTAATGACTTTGGTAGTTGCTCAACCCAAGATGAGATACCTGGGGCCGATCATGTCACTCAGCTAACTCCTAACAATGTGAGGCAGCTGGACTCGCGAGATCACAAATATTACGAGATCAGACGAGAATCCCTCATGCCATACTTCTGAACCACGGTGGTTTGGACCATACAGCGTCCTTTGAGGAACTACTGGCAGCTATGGCATGAGCTACAGGCGTGGTTCAATGCTAGGTGTTTGCGACGACGTGTGTGAGAAGTTACTGTTTGCTCACAAACAACAATGACTGCTGCTGAAGAGGTTATTGTAGATGCTACTAGTATCTATACTCAATGGAAAAGGTGTTTTCACTGAGAGTTCGACTATGTTTGACTATGTATGCTAAAAGTGTCTTCCCAGATTGTTCTGTGTAACAAACCATCTGGTGTAGTCGGGTTAGAAACTCCCTCCAGAGCCACAGAAGGCATTATTCAACTGTTTTCACAGTCTCAGTACTTTCTCCATGAGTAAAAATCTTCATGTGTTTAAGTAAATGTTTTCATTTCTCGATTTGGGGCTTGTTGTGGGGCTGTTGGCTCTAAGGGATTACGACATACATATACAATATCTTACTGTGGACAGTTTATTTAGGAGCACACAATCCCTCCCTGTACGCTTACAGTACGCGAGACAAAATATTGAATTATTCACATTCACAAGCTTCAGCATTGGCTTGTTTAAATTCATAAACAATCCTACCACATGTATTGTATATACTGTATGAGTCCTGATTTGGAAAGCAAACTGTTTCCATTGTTTGAATTATAAGCCACTGTGTTGGTTTGTATAAATTCATGAGCCATATTTCAATGTACACTGTATTTACGAGCCATAATCCTGCGTTGGTTTATAAGGCAATGAAGTCCATCGTTTTGATTAATAAGCTGTGTTATTGCCTTGCATGGATTTATAATCTACAGCATTGTTCATTGTCCAATTCCTTTATTGCTGTTTGTATTGTAGGCACTAGAAATCCATACGCAGCACTTTTGAGTGAGCTCAGCGATGAATGCAGAAATCACTTCCTTTGTGAAGGTGTATAAGCAATTATTTTGCCCTGTTTGGATACTTAAGCCTTTGTACATTTGTGCTGCACTGTTGATGTGCTGGACACAGAGATTATTCCTCTCTTCCGCTGCATATAGACAAAGAACCCTCCTGTACGAGGATTTTCAGGAGTCCTTTGATCTTTGCTTCACACATCCCTTGAAATGCAGCAGCATTGACGTCATATCATCGTGGAATATATAATGTGAGCAGCATCCTGACAAGTCAAGGTTAGCTAGTAATCTGTGTTGAGGTTCTTTTGTTTTTTTCTTCTAGTCTTCATAAAAGAAATTTCTGTAAAGAAGATTTTAACAACAAACAACAAATCTTTCATATAACAGTGGAACTGAGATCAAATGGAAACAGTTTAGTTCTGATAGCACTATTTTACCTACAACTGAGGTTTTTAACCCTTGGAACAACCGTTTGAGCATTTTTTTTTTTCTTTTAATTGGTGCATTCCTTGATTATCTGCCATTTTTCTAACTTGTAACTTGCTTGTTTTTGTGTTGTGAGGATGGAAACAGTGAGATCAAGCCTGAACCACATACAATTTGTGAATGTCAGCATGTAAATCTGCAAGAAAGATTGGGAGTCTAACTTTATCTGACAGCAAGTATCTCAAAG